ATATATAAAAGACCTAAATTACTGTTTTAGGTATTGTCAGGGGGTGGTGATTTTCCTGGATGGCCGGTCTATTTTTTATTTATTTTTATATGTTATGCATTGTCACCCAGTTGCAATCATTTAATCATTTAATGACATTCAGATGAACAAAGAACTGGAGTACAATCACTAAAAAAATATCATCAAATCAAACATTCAGGTGAAAACAGTACACTTGAAATGGGGCTAAAATGTTTGAAATGACGGTGAAGATGTAAAATGTCAATATGAAGAAACAACCAGTGACGTACTGAGTGGAAAACAATTTACATCCCTGAGGCCTACTGTACATACCTAGGTATAAGTGAGCCTTATCTCTTCTCTCTTCTTGTAAAAAAGAAAAAAAAAAAGGCAACAGTCTGACTTCGGACCATAAGGCAGTCTACTGTCGAGAGCGATGGAGCACAAGGCCCGGGCATCATGGGCATGCAGTATTTGTCACATCACATCCCTGATAAGACAGGTCAACTTAAGATGCCATGGGGGGCCAGGGGGGAGCTGGTGTTGTGACATGCTGCTAAATTGCAGAAAGGGGCTTTCCTGACTCTCCGGACTGAATGTCTTGTGTAATATATTGAGAAGAGCTCAGTGTAATCACAATGTCCTAAATGCCAGTTAGATCACAGACGAGTTTTCATGGTCCTCTATTTTCTGTTTTTGTTGTGTGTGTGTTTTTTTAATCTATTGTTTATACTGTTTGTATTTTTGTGTTATCAATTGCTATTACTCTCTCTCAATCTATTACGTGTGTGTGTGTGTGTGTGTGTGTCTGTGTGTGTGTGTGTGTGTGTGTATTGTCAAATAAGGATCCGAATCATCTTGATTTGCCAAGTATGTTGAAAAACACATAAAGGGATTTTGTCTGATCGTTCCAGCCACTCTAGTATGTTACAGCAAACAATATACGCACAAAATGAACATTTAGGACCTAACACATAAATGCACTGAGTTGTTAAATAATGTACGTTTACCATGGGTGTGGTATAGCACTGAACAATGAGTGCTGTGCAAATAATGTAGAGCGTGACCAGCAGTGCAGTCTGATACAATGCAATGGCAATTATGCATATGATGCAGAGAGTCTTGAGCATCCAAATGTCTAGTAGTGTGGAATATTGATCAATCAGCTATGAGTTCCTTTTGTTAATATGTTGTTGACTGTTTGATTTTAGATTGATACTAATTCGTAGAAAGGGTTCTGTCAGTCGTCATCTGTACCTGTGGGTTTTTGTTTTTTTTTGTTTTTTTTTTGTTTTTTGTTTTTTTTTTGTTTTTTACCCACAGGTACAGATGACGACTGACAGAACCCTTTCTACGATGGAACTTTCCTGTACGACTGAGAGCCTCCACAAGCATTGATACTAATTGAAATCAAGAATCAATCAATCAATCATTCACCAACAGTTCTGCAAATAACAGAGTATGCCAGGCTACAACAAGGAATATGGTAACACCCGTCTAAACATAGGTGTGGAAATTTAGCAAAAATGGCCAAAATGGCACTCTGGAATTATGAGTCAAATTTTAAAGTGTGTTTGAAGACCTTAAAATAACTTTACGTACCGCTAAAGTTATCAAAGCATACCAAGGGTTTATTCAAAGATGTCATTTCACAGAATCTCACACATTGCTGCAAGGTCTGGAACGTAAGCAGGGGCTATGACAACATGTGTAATGTCAAAATGAACTAAATGATGCTTCATTTATCCTTGACTAAATCCAACACAAGCATAGACAAAAATGCAGTCTATGTCAAACTATGACAAATCCGTTTTTCTATTCATGGCTGGGCAAAATAGAGCAACATGCGGGTACCGGCTTGTCACATTGGTGGAAAATAATTGTTATGAGACCAAAAGAAATCACATAGAAAAAATGCTTACATTGGTACTGCCTATAAGTGTTTTCAGAAATTCACCCCCCCTGTGCAAATATGCAAAGAAAAAAGCAGTGGCCTTGCAACGTTGTCCGCATGAAGTGGGGCGGGCAGGCAGACAGGATCTGAAATCGTGTTAATATGCTGTCCGGGGTGTAAGAGGCCGCCACGCGGGGAGCCGCCTGCAATCAGCCAAATACCCAGAGACAGGTCCTGGGTGGCCCCGGGCGGCGTTTCTTGTGTTCTCCCCCCTTAGCGCCACCGACCCTCGGCGTGCCAAAGTGGCCCCACCAGTCCCACCGAGCTCGTTTGGACCAATCTCTTCATGTCATGGGGCTTCTCATGCAAGAAAGCAAAGTTGCCCAAATCATTGTGGAGAGTCGCTCAAACAGTGACACCCGGAAATTATTTAAACAGCCAGATTAAGGGTTATGAATGTCATTATTATTTTGAAATTAAGAACCCTTGACTCATTCATCCAGACATTTCAAGTATGTATTTATTATTATATATATTATTGTAAAATAAGAGAAAATACAGAGCTGGTAGCATGGTTAAAATGAATCAGTGAGTCTGAACATATAGATATGATTTTAATTATAAACACATGTCAACAATTTATGAAATTCATTTTTGCAACACAATTAAAAAATGTTATTCTTTGCGGGCATGAAATATAAGCCTTATTCGCACAGTTGGGCTTTTTTTTCTCCACAGTTGTACAATACAATCTCGTGATACGTGCAAGACCTTGAAAAATAACAAGGTCCTCAATATTCTGGAGGGGGGAAAAGATTAGGCATCAAAACATCATCACGGGAAATTCCGTCCTAGTTTCTGTAAAAAAAAAAAAAAAAAAAGTCAAAATGATTTTTTTCTAACCGGATTGGTGTTGAAATTTGCATAGATTACAAATTGAAGGGGGCGGGGGCGGAGATTAAATTGATCATTCACTTTAGTTCGAACGCGGCCTGCGGGCAAGTAACTGACAAGGCCTGAAGAGTTTATTACCAACGCAGTGTTCGTTGAATCAAGACGAGACATCGCAGCATCAAGTTGATCAGAATAATTGTGCACAATTTTCTCACAGCATGACTTGAAAAAAATAAATTGAGCCAGAAAGATGCAGTAGGCAGCTAAAAAGTTCGGGTAAGAGAGCGGAAGCGAATCAAGGCTTGTCGTTACAATGTTTGAACAGAGTCGACGGGGTTCCCGAGAAGTTGGAACACTTCTCGGCGCAGCTGGCCAGAGCCGAGCCCGAGAAGGGGTACACGGCGGTGGCTTGGCCGAAGGGCGCCAAGGCGGCGGGGATGGGCGACGAGAGGCTCTGTCCCTGGTTGAGATAGGCCACCAGCCGCCGCATCTCCTCCAGAGCCTGAGCCTGCATGAGGATGTAGTTCTTGGCCAGGAGGAGAGTGGCTATTTTGGAGAGTTTTCTCACCGACGGGCTGTGGGCGTAGGGGATGACGGCTCTCAGGCCGTCCAGCGCGTCGTTCAGGTCGTGCATCCTCCTCCTCTCGCGAGCGTTAATGCTGAGCCGTAGGGAGCGCTGCTCCTTCGACTTCTTGGCCAGGGGACCCCCGGGCTTGTCGTCCCCGAAGGGCGCCCCTCTTTTCCGTGACTCCAGAGAGTCGAAGGCATCCTCGTCGTCGCTGGTGTGCTCCCCGCCGCTCTCGTTGGACTTGGCCGTCTGCCCGCTGAGGAAGTCAGTGGCCGGCGTGAGCGGGAAACGGCCGGGGGCTCCGGGACCGTGGCCGGCGCCGAAGCCGAAGGCTGACTGGCCGTAGCGCTGCGTCAGGTCGAGGAGCGCGTCGTTGCTGATGGACTTGAGCAGGTTCTCATCGCTGGCGTTCATCTTCGCTCCCAAAATATATAATAATTGAAAAAAAAAACCGTCTACTTCCCGTTTCTTTTTAGAACTGGAACCAACACGCCGTTCCACTTTGCCCCTCTCCTCGCCTCTGTGGTGACTCTTGAAGAAGGAGGCTGGTGAGGAGTGTGAAAGTCTACATGTGCGCGCCGCTCCTCGCTGCTGCGCGTAGAGCTCGCCACCTCCACCGCATCCACCACCAACAACAACAACTTGCGATCAAACTTGTTCAAGTGTGCTCGGCGGATGATGACGTGCGCTGCTTCCAGCCTCTCGCGCCCTCCTTCGCCTTGGGCAAAGTGAGGCTCGCGTCCGGCCCCGCGCACGCGTTAGTATAGGCGCGCCAAAGCCGCTGGGATTACTCGCTCGACCAATCGCGGCGAGCGTTTCATTAACAGGAGCGGCTCTTCCCCAGTCTTCAGTCGCTGTGTGTTCACTGTAACGTAAAGTGACACATAGGCATAGCCCACTGGGTTGGCCATTTTATGACAATTGAACCCGAGCAGGCAGTGGTGGGAAGTAACTAAGTATACATACTTGGTGACTGTACTTAAGTAGATTTTTCGGGTATCAGTACTCGAGTAGTTCTTATGACTATGAAGCGAGATCACATTATGATTGATTAATGGATTGATATCTTGAAGACTTAAGGCAAAAAATAACCAGGCACCTGCATTGGAGCAACGTAAACGAGAGAGCATTGACCACGATTACGTGACATTGGGAAAAGTAAGACATTCCCCATCCGTGGCCCCATTGAAGAGAATTTTTAAGAGTTCGCTTCAAGAAAAATTCACAGCAATTTTTGAGTCTTTATTTATCCAATTATGACAGGCATTACAATTTGTCTGGTTTATTTTGTAACTTTGCTGCCCATTCAGAATTGTTCTTAGAAGGGAGTGGGTGAGTTAATCCCCCCCCCCCCACCACCCACCGCCCCCAACACAACACACACACACACACACACACACACACACGTTCTTTACCTGCCACTCCAATGAAGTGAGTTTTATTATTTATAGTATTTATTTGTGTGGTGTCTCAAGCTTTTTAGTTTTCATGAATACATGGTTTGGGTTGAAATAATTACATTTTCTGTCAGGAAAGGCCTACCCTAGGTGTCATTATAGTATAACTGGGAATAAAAATGAATATTTACTTGTCTCTGATGTTTCAATACAGTCCAGTTTATAATTTTTTGCTTTTGTTCAAGTGAAGTCCAATCACAACTTACTTGACCAAACTCTTTATGTGTTCACACAACTTGAGTAGAGAGTGTGAGTGGAGTACTGTACTTTATCACCTCGTGTAGAGTGGACTCCTACTATTTCTGTGGCATAGGGACCAAGTCTCTACATGGATCATGAACAATGAGCATCTGACTGTACAGCAAAGCACAGGAGATGGATCGATGGTGTCGAGTGGTGCCAATGTTCCTTGAGGTTGCTTGCGCTGATGGAAAAGTCTGCTGCTTCGAGGCCGCTAGACCTAGAATGCTTCGCACTTCGGTGCTTACTGACTTAAAACTGTTGGATCCAAACAGCGATAACACAAACTAGTGGTCGTAGATGGCTATAGCGGCAATTGAGCAGTTGTAACATGTTCTATTGGTTCTCGTGCATTGTTTGGTGCAAATTTGGCAAGTCTATCGAGACACCATCTTATCTATCCATGACCGCAGACGGGTGGTCACAGACCGCTGCCGTTAGATTTGTGATTGAATCGCAGCCTGGGAGCAAAGCGAGTGTGTGAAGGCTCAACTATCACTTAGAATAATCTTCTTCCTTCTGGGTGAGCGGACAACTCGTATGTTTTTTGGTGTGGTAAGTGTTTGTTGTGCTAGTTAAAGAGATGCCACAAAGCCAGAAATATAATTCATACTGTAGACATTATTTTGCCATGAAAATAAAGTGATCATTTTATGAGTTAATTTATAAGACAAAGAGTGCAACAGATATATTATTTATGAGTTAATTTATAAGACAAAGAGTGCAACAGGGAGATAATTGCATTAAATAACGAGGGGGGGACTGAAGACTAACTGCCAGAAATATGGAATTTTAGCAGTCTTTCTCTTAACAATAGGTTTCACGCCAAAGAACATGACACATATTTTTAAAAATCTGGATATGTCTGATTTTTGCATTTGAACCAGCTGGGACATTGTATGGCAATGCAAACGCTGTTTTACCTGGTGGATAGAATCACTTCCACAGAAGACGAAACATTACACTGACAATTCGACATTCGACGAAAAGAATGGAACTGGTTATGAAGTGGTGCTTGCTTTTGGCAAATTTGAGGGTCCACTGCCATCTAGTGGTGATAATGACACGTCACTCTGCCTGTCGATCTGTCCATCACGCTAACCATCCATCAGTCCGTTCCCGCCTCCGTCTGACACTGAAAAAAAATAAAACAAAAAGCAAGGAACGTATATTTAAGAGCCCAGGGAAGTTCAAGTTTCACCTCTCAGTCGCAGTACTGACACATAAACACAACCAAACATTCACACGTCCCTTTTGCCATTTCGTTTTGGTTATTATTCGGACGTGATGGTATCAGTATTTGACAGCTTGGGTTTTGCAGTTTTTGTAAAGATTTAATTCCCTTGCATATGGCTCACCAGTTGACATTTGGGTGGTGTTGCCAAACGGTCACCTGGCAAGAAACCTTTCTGTCCCTGACCACAGTTCTGCGCCAGTTTGAGAAGCTTTTTGACCGTCACCTGCACCAAAGCTTAGTACAATTTGTTTTACCCATGGCACGTTTCTGGAAATAGGAGCTGTTCTTGACAAACCATGCAGCTGAAAGCAAGCTACTAGTACTACTGGTCAAAACAGTGAACTTCTAAGCAGGTGTTTGTTAGGGAAATTCTATCTGGAGGGCTCATCATCAACAAAAGGTCAACTGATAGCAGATGATTTGGAGAGTGATATAGCGTCACCTGTGTTGACTTAAGGCTGGGGTGTCAAACTCATTTTTGTCGCGGGCCACATTGTAGTTACGGTTTCCCTTGGAGGGCCGTTATGAATTTTGGAAAACCATATAAATGTTTAATCACCTCCACATATTACATACACAGCGCACAACAAATTGATGGATAACTAGTTTTAAAATCAAAAGTCAAGAATAATGACTGTTATTATGGATTACATATGACAATTAGAAATTTTGGTTCAGATTTTAGCAGGCATCATGGAACTTGACATGCTTGATTTGCTTTCGCAGGCCACATAAAATGATGTGACGGGCCAGATCTGACCCCCAGGCCTTGACTTTGACACCTGTGACTTAAGGTGTTTCGAGTGGATGTTCACCCTTCAAGTCTGACATCAGTGACCTCTTTCCTGAGAACTGTTCCTCTGGATGAATGGAGGGCGGCACAGAAGTCAACTGGTTAGCACGTCCGCATCTTAGTGCAGAGGTTGCAGGGTTCGATTCCTGTGTTGAGTTTCCATGTTCCCCCCCTGTGCCTGCATGGGTTTTCTCCGGGTACTCCAGTTTCCTCCCACATTCCAAAAACATGCACGGCAGGTTAATGGAACACTCTCAATTGTTCCTCAGTGTTCTTGTGAGCGCGAATGGTTGTTTGTCGATGCGTGTGCCCTGTGATCACCTGCTGCCCAAAGACAGCTGGGATACGCTCTTGCATGCAAATATATCCATCTATCTATATACAGTATATGTATGTATATCACAAAAAAGGACAAAATTGTCAATGAAGATACATCAAAAAGATAACGAGCTGTACGAAACCAAACAAACCAACAGTGACAAGACTAAAACAAAGGGCGAAAGTTGGCAGTGGTAAGCATGTGAGGTTTTTTTGTCTTGGCCGGTAGGTGGCAGTTGACAGTGTACATTTAGGATAGCGCTGCTGCTGCTTTATTGTTGAGTCTGCTTGTTCTGCCAGCGGTGTTGATTCTCTTCAGGTGTTCCATATCGCCCACACCTTGCAAAAACATGCAATTATTTATTGAAAGACGAAACGGTCCATAAGTGTCCACATGTGCAGAGAATGCTCTTTCTGTCTTTACGTGTCAGTCCTGTGATTGACCTTGGCGAACACGAGCTCTGAGAAAAAGACTCCAGGCTCCCTATGGCTCCAAGCAGGGTAAATAGCTATTGAAAATAAAATAACAGATGGACTTGTCGGGATATTAGTTATATAAAATAACGGAGGAAATTTTGTGTTACGAACTGTCTGGGTGAGCAGCCAATTTAATTTGGTTTGCATTATTTCTGCACACCGTTCTGCCTGATTAGTATGAACAATTGAAAAAAAAAAAACATCCTTTTTACAAAAACTGGAGTTAAAACAGTGAAACCATGTGTCGGTTGTGAGAGCTCCAGGGGCTTAGCAAGAACGTTATAAGGTTTATAGGTGAGGGAGGTGTGTCTTGAAAATGTCAACTGTTCACATTTTATTCATTGCGATATAGTAACAAAAATGACCATATTTGCATATGTTTAAACCAATAGTTGAACTTGAAGTGTGTGACGTGATTCGTGTTGTCCGGTTTTCGATAAAGGGGAGAATACTTGCCCTTTATTCCTGCCGGGCAAAGCGCCAAAATCTTCAAAAGCATCACAGGAGTATCAACATACCAACTAAAAATACATGATGCTTTGAAAGCCCGTTCAACGTGCCTCCTGTCACCATGGCAACTGCAACCTCAGCTGCCACACGAGGGCTCCTGGCCAACATTTAACCACACCGCGGTTGACTGTCGTGAATGCAGTGCTACCCAAAGTCCACCGAGTGGCAGAAGAGCCTTTTCTACATTTCTCCAAAGTTGCCGTCGTCTTTCGCAAGAACATTGTGTTCTCACACAGTTGCAAATCAATGTTGCTGTTGTGTATCCTGCGGTGGCGCCCCAGAATAAGTGCATATGCATTAGTATTATTCATCAGCATGAATATTCATAGTCGTGCCGGTTCCACCTGTGCTGTATTTCAATGTTGCTCATGGCACATTGTTTACATGATAAAAAAAATCTCACGCTACAGCGCCCCGCAAAATACAGTGGTACCTGATAATGAGTGACCTGAATTACACGTTTTTCAAGATAGGAGCATTTTTTCAGCTTTTTTTTTTTTTTTGCTCTGACTCGTGAGCAAAAAAAAAAAAAATACAGTAATAATAATAATCAATCGAGTTTCAAACACTGTATGGTGGCATTGAATCCAACTCATTTTCCACAACATGCAGCAATTTGGCTGATGGTAAATAATTTGTCCAAAAACGAGGTTTCAAGCTGTTTAATGTAACTCTAAGTTGAAGTTGAATTTCAAACTCAACAAAAAGCAATGTGTAATTTAAACAACCACAAAGCTTTGTCTTATTTAGCTTAATGCTAACAAACAATGAAAAACGCATTGGATGGGCCAATAAATAGCATTGAGTTTGCGGTGATGGTCCAAATCCAAATCGAGATTATAACAAGACTCAAGGGGATCTAATCTTCATTTAAATGGAGAGAAAAAAATATTTTGCGACATGTTTTGAGTTCAAAACCTGGTCCCGAAATGTATTTCACTCACATCTGAAGGCACCACTGTATCACAGAAAGTGGTTTAGTAGGTTAATTCTGTACATTCTGACATCTAGTGGAAGAACATAAATGTTAAGCCCATCACTATTTGTCACCAGCATTGATAGTTCCACAATGATGCATTATTTGTAAAAAAAAATCATTTTTGAGCTAAGTAAGTGAAAATTGGATTTAGGCCATCCATGTAGGCAGTACATAAGTTCTAACATGAGTGAAATAAATGGAAACCATGACTTA